GCATTGTAAGGACGAGACATTCATCAACATTTACCCTTTAATTCGACGAAATCGATACTGTCTTCACTAACCTGTATGATGGACGTAGTGATTTCAAAAGGCATATTCTAAATTTTCCAATCGAAGATAAATAAAGACACCTGCTGCTTCACAAATCTCTGGTGTTTACACGTCGCAGCTGAGTCTGTCTCAGTATCACGGATACCTTGATAGCTGTTGACAGTTTTACGAGAAAAAGTTCGAGATATGCGGTGCGATGAAAGCTGTTTGAAAGTTTTATGGTCGAAATCATGATCTCATTGGGATTGGTTCATTGTATGATATGAGGTTAGACTTGTAGGATTCACGTTCAACATGGTTACATATTCTCATTTCATCCTTCTAAACTTGGTCTTATTCTCTTTGACTCTCACTTGACTAATCGCAACCCAAATCAACTGAAAAGAGCCTTAACGCTGAGTTACATTTAATCGGTCCCATTGTTGAACTCATCCGATATTTTTATGATACAATGCTGCATGACAAGTTTGATAAAATAGATGTGCATATTTACTCAAGTTATCATGTTCACAAGGTCCAATGAAAGTAAAACTACAAAGGGCAATAACTCCGTATATTACGATCAAATCGGTTCCATTCTGAACCCTACTGAATTTATCGTGTTTACAATATCAAATAATAATAAAACTGTAAAGGGCCATAACTCTGTTTATTCTAACCAAATAGGCCCAATTGTTCCTCATCTGCGATCAAAATTATTCAAGTCTACAAACCAAGTTTTATCAAATCCATGTATATACTCAAATAATCAGAAAAATCTACTTTTAGAGAGAGTGACACATTGTCACTACCCTGTTCCCCGTCCTCATTTAGAGAGAGTGACACATTGTCACTACCCTGTTCCCCGTCCTCATTTAGAGAGAGTGACACATTGTCACTACCCTGTTCCCCGTCCTCATTTAGAGAGAGTGACACATTGTCACTACCCTGTTCCCCGTCCTCATTTAGAGAGAGTGACACATTGTCACTACCCTGTTCCCCCTTCCTCATTTTGTGTGACATGGAGCTGTCGTTGTCACTACCCTGTTCCCCGTCCTCATTTTGTGTGACATGGTGCTGTCGTTGTGACCACCCTGTTCCCCGTCCTCATTTTGTGTGACATGGTGCTGTCGTTGTCACTACCCTGTTCCCCGTCCTCATTTTGTGTGACATGGTGCTGTCGTTGTCACCACCCTGTTCCCCGTCCTCATTTTGTGTGACATGGTGCTGTCGTTGTGACCACCCTGTTCCCCGTCCTCATTTTGTGTGACATGGTGCTGTCGTTGTGACCACCCTGTTCCCCGTCCTCATTTAGAGAGAGTGACACATTGTCACTACCCTGTTCCCCGTCCTCATTTAGAGAGAGTGACACATTGTCACTACCCTGTTCCCCGTCCTCATTTAGAGAGAGTGACACATTGTCACTACCCTGTTCCCCGTCCTCATTTAGAGAGAGTGACACATTGTCACTACCCTGTTCCCCGTCCTCATTTAGAGAGAGTGACACATTGTCACTACCCTGTTCCCCGTCCTCATTTTGTGTGACATGGTGCTGTCGTTGTGACCACCCTGTTCCCCGTCCTCATTTTGTGTGACATGGTGCTGTCGTTGTGACCACCCTGTTCCCCGTCCTCATTTTGTGTGACATGGTGCTGTCGTTGTGACCACCCTGTTCCCCGTCCTCATTTTGTGTGACATGGTGCTGTCGTTGTGACCACCCTGTTCCCCGTCCTCATTTTGTGTGACATGGTGCTGTCGTTGTCATTACCCTATTTACCGTCCTCATTTTGAAAATGTGACATGGTGCTGTCGTTGTCACCACCCTGTTCCCCGTCCTAATTTTGAGAATGTGACATGGTGCTGTCGTTGTGACCACCCTGTTCCCCGTCCTCCTTTTGAGAGTGTGACATGGTGCTGTCGTTGTCATCACCCTATTTACCGTCCTCATTTTGAGAGTGTGACATGGTGCTGTCGTTGTCACCACCCTGTTCCCCGTCCTAATTTTGAGAATGTGACATGGTGCTGTCGTTGTGACCACCCTGTTCCCCGTCCTCCTTTTGAGAGTGTGACATGGTGCTGTCGTTGTCATCACCCTATTTACCGTCCTCATTTTGAGAGTGTGACATGGTGCTGTCGTTGTCATCACCCTATTTACCGTCCTCATTTTGAGAGTGTGACATGGTGACGTCGTTGTGACCACCCTGTTCCCCGCCCTCCTTTTGAGAATGTGACATGGTGCTGTCGTTTTCATCAACCAGTTCCCCGTCCTCATTCTGAGAACGTGACATGGTGCTGTCGTTGTCACCACCCTGTTCCCCGTCCTCATTTTGAGAGTGTGACATGGTGCTGTCATTGTGACCACCCTGTTCCCCGCCCTCCTTTTGAGAGTGTGACATGGTGCTGTCGTTGTCTCTACCCTGTTCCCCGTCCTAATTTTGAGAGTGTAAAATGGTGCTGTCTTTGTGACCACCCTATTCCCCGTCCTCATTTTGAGAATGTGACATGGTGCTGTCGTTGTCACCACCCTGTTCCCCGTCCTCATTTTGAGAGTGTGACATGGTGCTGTCATTGTCACTACCCTGTTCCCCGTCTTCATTTGGAGAGTATGACATGGTGCTGTCGTTATCAACACCCTATTAACCGTCCTCATTTTGAGAATGTGACATGGTGCTGTCGTTGTCAACACCCTGATCCCCGTCCTCATTTTGAGAATGTGACATGGTGCTGTCGTTGTCACTACCCTGTTCCCCGTCCTCCATTTGAGAGTATGACATGGTGCTGTCGTTGTCACCACTCTGATCCCCGGCCTTATTTTAAGAATGTGACATGGTGCTGTCATTGTCACTACCCTGTTCCCCGTCCTCATTTTGAAAGTGTGACATGATGCTGTCGTTGTCACTACCCTATTTACAGTCCTCACCTGGAACGTGTCTTGGCAAATTTGAAGGTTCTGTATGCAACACTTTGTGGACAAGACAGAAAGACTAGATTGATCCATTGATGTACATAAAACAAATCTTGAGGTTGCATAACAGTATTTTCTAATGGCTTTGATGTTGGGCGTTGCTCCTTTGTAATCTTCAAAGGAGCATATCAGTCTGTGATTGGACAGTTTTTCCCCTGGAACCAATCGAATTATTTCACATGTGCCTTTCATTTTTCTGTGACATGTTCCTGGGATGTAGAGAACAAAAGTGATCGTAATCACTGGAATATCAAGGATTCCAAAATCTTACATGGTGTAGCATACAATAATATGGTGCTGTATTTAGAATGTGAATAACAGATGTATAGGAGTTCAAGAGCTTGTATACAAATTTCAAGACAAGCCATAAGTGACTTTTGACCTTAAATCTTCACATAAATTTCATTTAGTTATATTTTAATCATGGGGCGGGGCTTAAGTGCGGTTAGGTTTACGTGCGTGCTCAAGTGCTGCGCAAGTTTAGTGTGGCCACACCTGTAGGAGTTTTTCCTGTACTCGTCATCGAGGAGATTGTTACACAATCATACGGACGTGTTTTGTATTCCCTCCCACTCGCCAAGTTTCCTATGTTTTTGTATTTTGATGTTTTGTAAATATTTTTGGTACAGTGGCAGTTGTTTGTTATTAAGTTTCCTATGTTTTTGTATGTTGATGTTTTGTAAATATTTTTGGTACAGTGGCAGTTGTTTGTTATTAAGTTTCCTATGTTTTTGTATTTTGATGTTTTGTAAATATTTTTGGTACAGTGGCAGTTGTTTGTTATTAAGTTTCCTATGTTTTTGTATGTTGATGTTTTGTAAATATTTTTGGTACAGTGGCAGTTGTTTGTTATTAAGTTTCCTATGTTTTTGTATTTTGATGTTTTGTAAATATTTTTGGTACAGTGGCAGTTGTTTGTTATTAAGTTTCCTATGTTTTTGTATGTTGATGTTTTGTAAATATTTTTGGTACAGTGGCAGTTGTTTGTTATTAAGTTTCCTATGTTTTTGTATTTTGATGTTTTGTAAATATTTTTGGTACAGTGGCAGTTGTTTGTTATTAAGTTTCCTATGTTTTTGTATTTTAATGTTTTGTAAATATTTTTGGTACAGTGGCAGTTGTTTGTTATTAAGTTTCCTATGTTTTTGTATGTTGATGTTTTGTAAATATTTTTGGTACAGTGGCAGTTGTTTGTTATTAAGTTTCCTATGTTTTTTTTGCATTAGATCCTAATTAAATGACTTGTGTAGTAGAATTGGATTGTTGTTTCTGAATCCTCAGTTTTTCTATAATTCAAATGCAAGGCACGCTTTTTGGATCAGGGACACTTGAAGGCTGTGGACATTTTTTGTTTCTGATCCGGAGTGAGCTTGTTGTCAGCATTAGGACCAAGTTCAAGGTGTCTCGCGTATATCGAACATTTTAATACTAATTTCACTTTTTGTTTTCATAAAATACTTTTGTATCAAATTGATTCATACTTACATGTAACAATCACTAGGCTATGTATAGATTATATATAAGAATGTTCGTCTTGTGTTATTATTTTGATTAAATATTTAGAAATGAAATAATTTATGGCCTTATGAGGAAGGATGGAGGACATAATGACTTTTTAAATATAATTTTGGGTAGAACTAGAATGTGTGAGGACACAGTGTCAATATGAAACAAATCCTTGTAGGGGTACACAAATTTTTCATTTCAAAAAGCAAACAGTGACCTTTGACCTTTCAAGCAAAATCTATTGAGGCATTCAAGAACACAATGACAGACAATGTGGATGTATATACCTCCTGAACTAACTGGAGGGATAATTAGTAGACTATATATATAGCAGGTACAAATTATGTGAGAGATGATTCTTTTACACAGTGTAGAGATGCGTTTGTGATAACAACCCTCAGAGATGGACATCACTCCAGTTATATATGATGCATAATTCAAACTTTTGATGAAATAACATTAAAAGAATAGGAATGAAACATTTAAAACCTTCTATGATTTCAAAATATTTATTAATCAACTTTATACAGATGCAACATGTTGGACTTTAGCTACTGAATCAGCATATTGAAACTGATCACTATTTTCGTATTCACTCATGTCCAATGCTACAATACAGCTCTCCTTGACCACTGCCTCTGAATCCTTTAGATATTCCACTAATATCTGTGTACAGTCCTCAGTAGCAATGGATCCCAAAGCCTCAGCACACTCATGTCTAACCATTGAACTTTCATTGAGATCCTTTAAATTTTCTGACAGTTGTTTGACACACACCTTGTTCTGCATTTGACCGAGCACATATGCTATCTCATGGCGGAACAATGCACTTTTACACTTCAAACCTGAAACAAAATCCCATTTCATTATTGATTATTCTATAGAGTGACTATTTTATTGAAAAACTACAGATTTTACATTCGATCACAACCAAGTTCTATCCAAAAATATGATATTTTCTGAGGTATGCAGTGCTAGCCCTCCAGATATTGAATATTACAAATACGTCCAATATTTCTCATCTAAATCAGACTTAACATTTTCATAAATAACGTTACTCAATAGGTTCAAGTTTCTGATTTTTTTTACGTAGATTTGTTTTTGCTAGGTCATAATCTATTCTTCATAACTGTATACTGTAGGTAGTATCATTAAATTTCTGTCTAAGCTGTACATTGTGTTTAGTACACAAAAAAGACATTGTCTTCGCTGAAATTAAAAATCATTTGAGAATCAGGATCTACCTTCAGCAAGGGCGATGACTGCCTCATCACTACCATTGTTTCTGAGAGAAAACATCGCCCGGTATCTTTTGAACAATGACAATGATTCGTCAAGAAGAACCTCTCTTAAATAATTGACATCCTCAGAAACACTTGGAGGGGCTGGATCTACAGATGAATATGGATTTGATGACAATTTCTCTGCCTTACTTTTCTCACTGTGCAACCATTGTAACCTTTCCAGTGCAAGTTGGCATGTTTCTGACACCTGTAACAGAAAACTTCATAATATAGTTGACATGTTTCTGACACCTGTGTCACCTGTAACAGAAAACTTCATAATATAGTTGACATGTTTCTGACACCTGTGTCACCTGTAACAGAAAACTTTATTATATAGTTGACATGTTTCTGACACCTGTGTCACCTGTAACAGAAAACTTCATAATATAGTTGACATGTTTCTGACACCTGTGTCACCTGTAACAGAAAACTTTATTATATAGTTGACATGCTTCTGACACCTGTGTCACCTGTAACAGAAAACTTTATTATATAGTTGACATGTTTCTGATACCTGTAACAGAAAACTCAAATATACCTTTAAACCAGAGAAACCTGCCCCTGCTCTGCATGAAGACCTCTACATCAGGGGCCTGTCAACACATGCTGTGGGTCGACATCATGCCTTGTCTTCATCCTTACCTACAGGGTTTTTATATTTTACTTGGGAAAAGACAGAGGAGCAAATTATTACATGCATATATTCCTTGGTTAGTTGAGATAAAGAATGGTTACATTAATTGGGCAAATATATATATCCTGCTTTTCTTGGCCATTTTGAGCACACACTGAAAATACAATACTCTTACTTCAGAACTGTACTCTACAACATCTAAAAGTAAGTGTAAACATGTGCATTTAAAATCAAATAACCAACTGATCATAGAACGCATGGATACCTACCTCTATGACTGGATCGTTTGCATATTGTTGTAAAATTTCTGTAGACTCTGTACAACCTATAGCTCCAAGTGCCTCTCCTATCAACAAACAAAATCATATATCAAGCATTCAGTCTTTTAAACTCAAAATACGACCACAAACTTTTTCTTTAGTTTACATACTAGAGTTCAAATGATGATACACATATCATCTCAAAACTTGGCATGAAATTATGACACATCTTTACAATCCCACTAATTATATATATACATACATATCAATTTACCGTCAAAATTACAAACACCTGTATTGTAGGCTTTACATGTGGGTGGCGTTATAGATATAGGGACTTCGTAAATCCTGAACTATTCTAAGGAGAGGGCTTTCATAGGCTCTGCCTGTTGCCCAATTCCTATTGTCAATACCACCAAGACAATAAAATATTCTGAAATCAAAAAAACTATTCGTACATGTTTATAACGATACATTTTTCGGTTATCAGCTGGTACCTGCTTCATGTCTGACCATAGCCTCCTGTTGCGTGTCCTGTAAGACACGTGTGAGGGTTGGCAGGGCGTATGAGTCCTGCATTTGTCCTAAACAGTAAGCCAGCTCATGTTTCAACAATGCAGACTTGTCGTCGAAGCAAGCTGCGATCGAATCGATAGCATCACTTCCTCCGATGTTTTTCAGAGTAAAAAGAGCTCTGAATCGATCCTTCAAAGGCTTCGACTTGTCGTTCAATATTTTGCCGATTGATTCAATTGTGTCACCATTCGCAAGAGCCATATTTGATATCAGTACTTCTGACAGATCGACCACGTTTCTTGAGATGTTGCATAAGCGGAAGTAAACAACCGGATATGATAATACGAACTAGAATAATTTACGTACTTCATTCGTGCTGTTCGGAATTTATTTAAACAAATGAAAAATTCCAAGAGCTTCCGATTAAAAATTCAACATGGCGTCAAAAGAAGACAGCATGGCTATTCCAGAGATCCCAAAGCCAAACATATCGAGTATTAAGAACAAACAACTTAGAAATGCGGCATACAGAAAATTAAAGATCGAAAAACGAAAGGTGATGGCAAATAATATGAGTTAACCAGATATACAGGGATTTTCTTTGATCTAAATAATTATTCATACTTGTATTGTCGCTGGTTCTGAGACTGCTCTCATGCTATTTGTACGTAAAAGGACTTGACGATATGACTTAATTACATATAGACCAACGGCTATGGTGGAAGGGGGGGGGGTTCAGAATATTTTTTGTTTGTTTGTTTATTTGTTCATTTACTTAACGGGTTTTGCATCCAATATTACGGCATTCGGCCTTTCAGCGGACGAGTTAAAATATACAAATATCGCGACCCGTAGGCACAGGAATTTCACTGACCTAGAAAACCCCAAGCCATGTGCTACAGAAGTGTTCCACATTTACATTTCTGGGACATATTAAAACACACACACATATATATATAATGGGTTGAAACGCATATCTCTATTTGTAGGTAATTAGCATATGTTTGTTGATATATCCAGTAAAGTTCCAGTAGTAATGTGCCTTTGAGATATGACTACAGGGGCATGTAGACATGTCTGTTAAAAGTACCATATAAGACTACATAAACATACAGCTATAATGTGTCCCTGTGATAGGACCTTGCTACCACAGTTAAATCAAACGTGACCAATCTAAATGATTATTTATGAATCAAGTCACAGGAATCAGACATTTCAATTGTGAAATAACATTGAAATAGTAAAAAGCTAGAATACATGTAATGGAAGCAATTACGCTTATAGTGTTCCTGCTAATGCAGTATTAAAACTATATTTTGTTTCACATATAAAATGTCAGATTCCTTGATTATTTAAGTTGTATGCAAATAGTAAAACTGAAAAAACAAATCCTTATTACCATGTATTAAACAATTTTCAACAGAATTTGTGAAATCTTTTCTTTAAGATGCAAATATACAGAAACTATAGGCATGACAATGCTGACAGAACAGGTGTGAATATTATTGATATGTTGTTATTTTATAAACCCTTTTATGTATATGACTTGTTTGACCAAATGTGGTATTTCCTTTGTTTCTTTATATTGGTCATGCATGACATCCATATGTTAAGTTTTCTATAGACTAAAAGTGAGGGAAAGTTTTCTGTCATTGCTGTCAATTTCAAAATTATCTGCTGTCTCCTAGTAAATCTTGTAGATGGTTATTGATATTAGTTAATAATAACACATTAAATGAACTGGTGTTATCGATTTCTATCAGGAAAAGATGAAGGAGAAAAAGAAAAAGAAGAAAGAAGCAGAAGCTTTAGGGGATAAGGTAAGTTTTAGGTGGCGGTAGTTAATTAGATCAGACTTCTGGGTTTTTTTTATATTAGACAGTATAAAAGAATAAACTTATATATTGATTTATGATGATGTTACTACTGATGGAAAATTTGGAATAATTTTAAACCAGGTAAAAAATTTTTTTCCTTTTTTTTTTTGCAGAACAATAAATTATTTGTAAATAATTTGATACAAAATTGAATATATCCAAATGATTTTGTGACTTATTTTAAAACTTGTGATTTAATTTCATTTCTATATAATTTTTCCACCCAAAGGCTCCACCAAAGCAGGTTCCTAAGACAATAGAAAGTATGCGTATTCATGATGAGACTATGGTGAATTCTCTGGATGAAGAGGTAATACTGTTGATTAAAGTTGTGTACAAAGTTTTTGCATGAAAATAAATGTTTTTAGCAATTTCAACACCAAATATGATTCTTGTATGGTACAGCGACACTAACTTCCCTACAGCATAGATAATATAATGTATTTATTTTACATCCTTTTTACACCATTCACAAAGATTAAAGATGATTCAATAGGTCTGTTTAAGAATAGGATTGATGACAGATGGATTAAGTTAATAAATTCTCTTTGGATACTCTTGACATATACTGGATAAAGTCTCAGGGTGATCTATAGTGATCCTCTTTTGTCTTGCATCGTGCCCCATAAAATTTTAACATTTTCAATTTCTTCTGGAAAACTCCTGAACCAATTTCAATGAAATTTTACAAAAAACATTCCATAGCTAAAGGTGCACTAAAATTGTAAAATTATATGGTCCCCACCTGCAGGGGTCCAAGGGGCGGGGCAAAAAGGGTCAAACTGATTGAAACTTCAAAAATCTTTGTCTCAAATTCCAGGTATGGTAGAATCAAGCACTCTTCATGAGTGGAAAGGCCTTCAGATGCTTTACCAAAATTGTAAATTTTATGACCCCAGGGTCTTGCATTTCCCCCAGAGGAGGGGGTAAAATATAAGCTGACTGTTTGATGAGATGTACATATAGACCTTGACTGACCCCCAGGGGCTGGTGGGCAGGGACAAAAGTGGGTCAAAATTGATTGAAATTTCAAATATCTTCTACTGTACCTGACCATGGATGGAAGATATTTTATAGGAAAATTAAAATCTTGAGTGTAATTTCTTTTATTTCAAAATTAATTAGAATACTTAACATGGAACAGCAGTTAATGTATATACAATTTACATTTGCATTATGTGTACAATATAGTTAAAATTATAAGACATTTTTATAACATGTTAAAAGAAACATTGTGACTCAGGTGACCCTTTAAGGCCCTCTGACCTCTTGTCTTAAAACATAATACCCAACAGGAAAAGCATGCACACAGGGCTAACTTAACATTTATGTTTTGTCTTGAAATCTGTTTGATAACTATTCACTCTAATATTCTTTAAGTTTTCTTTTTACACTAAAAAAAGCTTTTGAATTCATTTGCCAGGTGATGCAGGACGAAGCCCAAGATGAGATGTCCTCCTATTTCAGACGAGAAAGTACTCCAAAAATACTCATTACGACTAGTGATAGACCTTGTTCTGTAAGATTGATTGTTTGGATTTTTAAGTTGTTACTATATACAAGAGGTCCAAATCTCCACTAGTCCTGGTAAAGATTATGAATAAACATATTTCCACCAGTTGTCTTTCTATACCAGGTGGTTTAACTCTGTAAATTATGGTTAGTATTTTAGTACCCATCATCAAAATTATATATACATGTTGAGTTGCAGTGTTACCCATCTTTTTCAGAGAACAAACAAATTTTGTAAGGAGCTGAAGAAAAGTTTTCCTAACTCAGAGATATACTACCGTCGAGGATTGGACCTGAAGAAGATCATCCCACAAGCTATGTCTAAAGACTTCACTGATATAATGGTGATCAATGAAAACCATAAACAACCCAGTATCCTTTTGGTATTATACAGCTGAATTATATCTTATGTTATACCAAATACCTGATCTTTTGGAGTGATAACCAAATTGACTTAATTGAGGAGTTGTGTTGGGTACTGTACTGTCATTTGAATGTAGTGATCACTTGTATGGTATGATAAGTTATGATAAGTAAAGAATTAGAAAGAATTATGGACATTAGATCTTACTGTATTTTCTGGGGTATAAGCCGCAGAACCATTTTTTACCTATTATTTTATTTCATCTACAAATTAGCTGCACTTGAATATAAGCTGCACCCTTTCTTACAAAATGGTAACAATTACGTTGATGGAAGTTCACTGATATAATAGACAACGAAGGGCGATTTGTCAAGGTCTTAAGTGAAACAGTTAATAAAGATTGCAAATGAATTGTACATAGATAATCCATTATTGTTTTGATAAATTTTTCTGAAACGTAAACGGCAAATATTGAATTGTTTGGCTTAGGTGCCTCCACAGATTGTCTACACACAGATATAGGGCCAGACGTTGTGTACGTTTTACTGAACAATCCCTCCATCAGTGTCTGTACTGTTAACAAAGCCCTTGCATGCTGACAAAATTTTATAGTCCCATATTAATTCTTCTTGTAAGTTACACAAAACTATTTATATCGTAAACAAGCATGGCAGTCATCCTATAATTTGACCTATAACCTGACGACTTATGGAAGCCAGGATGCAAAAGGCTATTGTAAACTTCCACTTTGGCTTCAAAGTAACTGCAGTAGTCCAGAAGATGTTACTGTGATTTATATTAAAAGGTAGGATTAATTAAATCCATGAGATTCTGTATACGATTGCAAATGACAGTTATAGACGATATATGGACAGTTTGTAAGTCACACGCCTGACTCACGAGAAAAAAAGATGCAGCTTATAATCTGGAAAATACAGTAATTAAAGATCACATATTGTTGGAAATTAGTAACAATGATTACCTGTAGACCAGCTAAAATAACAAACTGAATGATTAAGTATGCTTTTATACCCTAAGTATCCATCGTAAATTGCTTTCAAATCATAAGATGAATGAATTAATCATTAAGGACCAATCAGATGGTCCATTAGTCTAGGTCTGAAGATGATAAAGGTCCTATCAGATGGTCTGTTAGTCTAGGTCTGAAGATGATAAAGGTCCTATCAGATGGTCTGTTAGTCTAGGTCTGAAGATGATAAAGGTCCTATCAGATGGTCTGTTAGTCTAGGTCTGAAGATGATGTGTCAGATCTTCCTTAACAGTATATAGATGGATTAGTTCTAACACATTTACCTGATGGACCAACATCCCACTTTAAAATGAGCAACGTAAAACTTGCACCAGAGATTAAGGTAAAGTTGGGACCTGTCCTCACACACGTTATTAGAGTGTCTGCAGGCTTGTATTGTTAATATGACTGGTATCCAAGCATACATGTACTTAGGATTTCCTTTGGAATAGTAATGTTACAGACCGATGTGTGGTTGTATTCATCCGATATGTAGGGTTAGTGTCCTTTGTGCACAATGTATCTATTTGTTTGGATATATCTAAAACAGAGCCAAGGCCACTGTTACTATAAGTGGTGAACAAAAAAGGTCCTTCGCCTTTCACCTGGATATTGAAAGTACACAAGGGATTACCAGGTAGTATGGGTAATAGCTTAGATCAAGCAAAAACAATCTCAGCAGACTGGAGACAGGTTCTTCAATAAATATCGAGATATTGTTAGTTTGGATGATATCTCAATTTGTTTGTCTACAATTTCCATATTTTGCATCAGAATCTTGATCAGTTCTGAGAATGGTAAATGACCCTGTTTTCATGGTAAACTGGTTATGGATTTTACCTGAATAATATACTGTTAGATTAAAGAGATACAAAGCCTTTGTAATCATGTTTATCACACAGATATAGATATTGATGGGTCAAGAACAACACTTATTTCTCTATATGGACCAAACCAGGACACCCCGGGCTTTTATGATTTAGTCGTAGATACTATTGATAACTTTGGAAACGATAATATTATTATATGTGGGGATTTCAACCTAGTCTTAGAACCAAATTTAGATTATGATTACAGTTACAGACATGTAAATAATCCTGCAGCTAGAAATAAAGTTCTGGAAATTATTCAAAATTTCAGTCTAGTTGACATTTTTAGGGAACATCACCCAGATATTAGACGTTATACTTGGCGAAAAGCAAATCCTGTGAAACAAGCCAGATTAGACTTTCTTCTTATCTCAGAATCTCTTCTATCTAGTATAAATAAGTCCAGAATTGAACCAGGTTATAGATCTGACCATTCTATTCCAACAATATCTTTGATTTTGAATGAATTTAAAAAAGGGAAGGGTCTTTGGAAATTTAACAACTCTTTATTATTTGATTCTGAATATCTGGACATGGTTAAAACTTGCATTGAGGGGGTTAAGCTGCAGTATTGTTTACCTGTGTATAATCTTGAGTCTGTTAAAAATATCCCTAGCAGTGACTTGCAATTTTTGATAAACGATCAGTTATTTTTGGAAACATTACTAATGGAAATAAGGGGTAAGTCTATATCTTTTGCATCTTTTAGGAAAAAGCAAGCTAATCTACAGGAAGATAACCTTAAGTATTCTATAGAATCATTAGAGTCGGAATCAGATCCAGACCAGGGGGAATTAGACAGATTAAAAAGGGATTTAGAGACCATTCGATTGAAAAAAGTAAAGGGTAGTTTAATTAGATCTAGGGCTAAATGGATTCAGGAGGGGGAGAAACCAACATCTTACTTTCTAAATTTAGAAAATAGAAATTTCACTTCGAAAATCATACCTAAAATACAGAATGATAATGGAAGTATTAATACCAATCAAGTGGATGTTTTGGCAGAAGTAAGATTATTTTATGAAAATTTATATAAGTTTAGAAAAACTGATAATATAGAGTTAGAAACACATCTAGAAAACTGTAACATGCCAAAGTTAAGTAAAATAGAATCAGATAGCTTAGAGGGTGGGATAACTTTGGAAGAAGCTGGGAAAGTACTTAAAGGCATGCAAAATAATAAGAGCCCGGGATCAGATGGTTTCACTTCAGAATTTTTTTAAGTTTTCTGGGGATAAATTGGTAGCTTTGTTGTACACTCTTTAAATTATGGTTTTTATTTTGGTCAATGTTCAGTTACTCAAAGACATGGTGTCATCGTATGTATTCCTAAGGGAGACAAGCTATGCCACTTCTTAAAAAATTGGAGGCCAATAACACTTTTGAATATTACCTATAAAATTGCCTCCGGGGTTATCACACAAAGAATAAAAACAGTTTTGAGCAAAATTATTAATGAAGATCAGACTGGGTTTTTATCAGGTAGGTATATAGGTGAAAATATCCGTACAGTGTATGATGTAATGCATTATGTAGAAGAACTCCATATTCCAGGTATGTTAATGTTAGTAGATTTTGAAAGAGCATTTGATAGTGTTTCATGGGGGTTTATAGATAAAGTTTTAAAATATTTTAACTTTGGGGAAGATATATGCAAGTGGATAAAATTATTTAATAATAATGTATATGCTTCTATTAATCAATGTGGGAATCTTTCAAAACGTATTAATATTGAAAGAGGTTGTCGTCAAGGTGACCCAATATCTCCTTATATCTTTATTTTATGTGCTGAAGTTCTAGCAGCAAGAATTAGAAATAATGAGTTTATTAAAGGCATTGATGTAGATAATGTACCAATTCTAAATGTGCAATATGCAGATGACACTGGTTTAATATTAGATGGCTCAGAGAGGTCGCTTAATGAGTCTATCTCAGAGTTAGATAACTATGCAAAGATTTCTGGTTTTAACATTAATACTAATAAAACTCAAATTATATGGTTAGGGAGTTGTAAATACAGTGATGTAACATATCGGCCAGATTTGAATCTGCAGTGGGGGAAAAATAGATTTACTTTTCTGGGTATCAATTTTTCGGTTGATTTGGATTAAATACCAAGATTAAATTTTGACAAAAAAATTGTAAAACTTAAAGGACTTCTTACTTCTTGGAAGCGACGGAGCTTGACTCTAATTGGCAAAATTAATGTTATTAAGTCTCTTTTGATTTCACAACTCATTTATTTATTACCTTGCCAAACCAATCAGAAAAATATATTGCTACAATAAATTCTTTATTATTTGATTTTTTGTGGAATGGTAAGTGCAATAAGATTAAAACAGATGTCATTATTCAAAATAATGATAATGGTGGGCTAAATATGATTGACTTATATTCTTTCATTCATTCTTTAAAAGTAGGCTGGATAAGAAAATTATTGATGTTATCAGGCAAATGGTATCTGATCCTTAAGTCAACAATAGATCTAAATAAGTTGTTTAAATGTGGAAAGGATTATGTATATTTATGTGGATCAAGATGCCGCAATCAATTCTGGAAAAATGTTTTCAAAGCATGGGATAAACTAAACAAATCTAAGGATATATCGCTAAATAGACAAAATTGTATTCTCAAAACACCCCTTTGGTATAACAATGATATTAAAGTTAATAATAAATTTGTCTTTTATCCAAACTGGTTTATGGCAGGTATCTTGACATTGAATGATCTGATGAAAAATTCTGAAAACTTAACATTTCTTTCTTTTGAAGAGTTTTTACAAAAGTTTAGAATTAACACTAACTTTCTAGAATTTCATGGATTAATAGCTGCAATTAAACGCTATTTAAGAAATCTCGAGTTCAAATCAGAAAGACTTTCGCATCCTTTCATACCACAAATATTAGAAATATTCTTCAAGAATAAAAAAGGTGTGAAAGATTTCTACAAGCATATCATAACTCCAGCGACTATGCCTACTGGCACCAAAAAATGGAATTTGCAGTTTAACTTTGATTTTGAGAAGTGGTCAATAGTATATAATCTTCCCTTTACAGTCACCAAAAATCCTAAATTAATATGGTTGCAGGTCAGAATTATTCATCAGATCTTAGTAACAAATTCTTTTCTTCATAAAATAAAGATAAACCCTTAGCCCTATGTGTACTTTATGTAATATGGAAATAGAGACAATTACGCATTGCTTATGGGAATGTAGGGAGGTGCAAACTCTTCTTCAGAAATTTGGAACTTTATTAGATCTACTTTTAATACCATTTGCATATAATAAGGAGTCATTATTTTTTGGAATAGTTTCACAACAATGTAACTCAGTTGACAATGAAATTCTTATTATAAAACACTATATATATAAAACTAGATGTATTAGTAACTCTTTGAATATAAACGCTCTCATTAATGTAATTAAAGATAATTTTGTAGTTCAAAAATATATAAATAATAGTCCAAAGAATCATATCAAAATGCAATTTGAGTAAGGTTGGAGAAAATGGAAGCCCTTATTAGACTTATAAGTTCTTAACCTTAATATTATTTCACTGGCTCTAATTATCTCTGTACGTGTATATTTATTTTGTTGTAATTATTAATCATAACACTAACTCCGCCGACGACTCTTGATTTGCTGTTATAATTTAAATATTCTTTATTTACATGTAGAATACATTATACAATATAAAAATGTGTGTGTGTATGAAGAAAACAGTACCTCCTCCTCTCTACCCTCCTACCTCTTTCCTTTTTTCTACCCTTTTCTATTCTGTCTGTCGGGTTTGTCTTTTTGTCTGATGAGCGAATGGTATGTGGGCATCTGTGTGTGTATGTCCATGTAAGTGTAGTATAGGGAATCAGTTTTGAGATTCCATCATCGATGATCGGATATTAACAGTAAACCTAACATCACTGGTTATTATTTTGAAACCGATCATCAAGGTTGAAATTTCATAATTGATTAGTTATAGTAGGTTGTGTTTCCTGTTTAGACATTGATTATAATTAGGTGATCACCTACACAACACTATGTAAGTGTATGTAAGTTTGTGCGAAAGTTTATGATAATATGTTTATATATGTATTATATTTGAAAACTTTCAAAAATAAAAAAATTTAAAAAAAAATGTTTATCTCACAGTTTCACACATATCTGTTGTTTACAAAAGCATTTGAAATGATATTTTGTTACCATCATTATACTTTTACTGGATTATACCTAATGTAGGTACCATAGTTTGAAGAATTGAAGAATAATTATTTTTTATCTAGAATTATATTAATTAAAATATTTATTACTTTGTTCATCAGAGGGTTGGAGAAATGACCGGACATAAACCAGAGGTCATTCTAAACAATTTTAACACACGACTTGGACACAGCGTTGGACGAATGTTCGCTTCTTTATTTCCTCATGATCCTCAATTCAGTGGCCGCCGAGTAATCACATTTCATAATCAAAGAGACTTCATTTTCTTCCGACATCACAGGTAAGTTAGTATCACGATAGTTTGTTGTCCTGTCTTCTTGTTTTACATAAGCTGACGTTGTAGAGGAGGTGTGCTTAATAGTCATATATAGTCTGTATATACTACATTGTATCTATACACAGTATACAAGCTGCAATGTTGAACACACAACAATACTATTTTTATACTGTCTGAAGGAAAAGCATGTAGTTGCCACTTTGTCCATCCATCCATTCATATGTTCATCTGTCCATCCCTCTGTCCCTCCGTCCGTCCCTCCGTCCTTCATAATTTTGTCCAGAGCATATCACAATACCTAAAAGAGGTATGATAATGAAACTATAAGTGGATAAATCTCGATAAGGAGAAGTACAGTATACAAGAACCATAACTCTCATTTGTATAATTTTGGAGTTATTGAAACTTGGTGTATACATTGGTCATACTAAGAGAATGTGCAGTATACCAAACTCAGGGCCTGCAACTTCTTAATTACAGAATTATTGCCCTTTGGTTAAATTTTGAGTCCAATAAAGTTTTTTGGGAGAATTAATCAGTGTCACTGATACTGTTGTATTGTGTTTTCTGGAACTTCCAAGTGCCAACATGCTTCTGCAGCTGCACAATCAGAGGTATTCATTCTAAATATTTAAGTAAACTGACCAGGGTAAACAATGGCCCTGACTGATCATGTGTAATGTTACCTCAAATCTCCTTTCTGAATAGGGCACATACCTCGTATACATTCTTTTAAATGTCATGCACTTGTGAAGCTCCATACAGAGAAAAACTTTGCAGAAGTCAATAAAGTGAAAGCATAAAGAAAATTGTTACTGTGGAGGGAACTATTTTCAGAAATCTCACTTGGTCTCTTCAGTTTGAAAGAGAGTAAATTTTTCCATCATGTTGTTGGATGAAGATGTGATTTAATGTCTTCATATAGAATCTGATAGATAAATGGCAATTAAATCATTAGTTTATGTAAATTTCAGAAATCTACAGGTTGGTGTTGTAAAATCACTGATTCACTCTGCCTGTATTCTGATACCAGAAATGAAGCCACTTTAATACCAGGCCTACTATATCACCTCACCTATGTTTTTTTTGTACATGTGTCCTGTTTGTGGTTGTTTTCTATACATGTGTCCTGTTTGTGGTTGTTGTTTTCTATACATGTGTCCTGTTTGTGGTTGTTGTTTTCTGTACATGTGTCCTGTTTGTGGTTGTTTTCTGTACATGTGCCTGTTTGTGGTTGTTGTTTTCTGTACATGTGTCCTGTTTGTGGTTGTTGTTTTCTGTACATGTGTCCTGTTTGTGGTTGTTGTTTTCTGTACATGTGTCCTGTTTGTGGTTGTTTTCTGTACATGTGTCCTGTTTGTGGTTGTTGTTTTCTGTACATGTGTCCTGTTTGTGGTTGTTTTCTGTACATGTGTCCTGTTTGTGGTTGTTGTTTTCTGTACATGTGTCCTGTTTGTGGTTGTTTTCTGTACATGTGTCCTGTTTGTGGTTGTTTTCTATACATGTGTCCTGTTTGTGGTTGTTGTTTTCTGTACATGTGCCTGTTTGTTGTAGTTTATGTAGATTTCAGAAATCTACAGGTTGGTGTTGTAAAATCACTGATTCACTCTGCCTGTATTCTGATACCAGAAATGAAGCCACTTTAATACCAGGCCTACAATATCACCTCACCTATTCTGTACATGTGCCTGTTTGTGGTTGTTTTATGTACATGTGCCTGTTTGTGGTTGTTGTTTTCTGTACATGTGCCTGTTTGTTGTAGTTTATGTAGATTTCAGAAATCTACAGATTGGTGTTGTAAAATCACTGATTCACTCTGCCTGTATTCTGATACCAGAAATGAAGTCACTTTAATACCAGGCCTACTATATCACCTCACCTATTCTGTACATGTGTCTTGTTTGTGGTTGTTGTTTTCTGTACATGTGTCCTGTTTGTGGTTGTTGTTTTCTGTACATGTGTCCTGTTTGTGGTTGTTGTTTTCTGTACATGTGTCTTGTTTGTGGTTGTTGTTTTCTGTACATGTGTCCTGTTTGTGGTTGTTTTCTGTACATGTGTCCTGTTTGTGGTTGTTTTCTGTACATGTGTCCTGTTTGTGGTTGTTGTTTTCTGTACATGTGCCTGTTTGTGGTTGTTGTTTTCTGTACATGTGTCCTGTTTGTGGTTGTTTTCTGTACATGTGTCCTGTTTGTGGTTGTTGTTTTCTGTACATATGCCTGTTTTTTGTTTTTTCTGTACATGTGCCTGTTTGTGGTTGTTGTTTTCTGTACATGTGCCTGTTTGTGGTTGTTGTTTTCTGTACATGTGTCCTGTTTGTGGTTGTTTTCTGTACATGTGTCCTGTTTGTGGTTGTTTTCTGTACATGTGTCCTGTTTGTGGTTGTTTTCTGTACATGTGTCCTGTTTGTGGTTGTTGTTTTCTGTACATGTGTCCTGTTTGTGGTTGTTGTTTTCTGTACATGTGTCCTGTTTGTGGTTGTTGTTTTCTGTACATGTGTCTTGTTTGTGGTTGTTGTTTTCTGTACATGTGTCCTGTTTGTGGTTGTTGTTTTCTATACATGTGTCCTGTTTGTGGTTGTTGTTTTCTGTACATGTGTCCTGTTTGTGGTTGTTGTTTTCTATACATGTGTCCTGTTTGTGGTTGTTGTTTTCTGTACATGTGTCCTGTTTGTGGTTGTTGTTTTCTGTACATGTGTCTTGTTTGTGGTTGTTGTTTTCTGTACATGTGTCTTGTTTGTGGTTGTTGTTTTCTGTACATGTGTCCTGTTTGTGGTTGTTGTTTTCTATACATGTGTCCTGTTTGTGGTTGTTGTTTTCTGTACATGTGTCTTGTTTGTGGTTGTTGTTTTCTGTACATGTGTCTTGTTTGTGGTTGTTGTTTTCTGTACATGTGTCCTGTTTGTGGTTGTTGTTTTCTGTACATGTGTCCTGTTTGTGGTTGTTGTTTTCTATACATGTGTCCTGTTTGTGGTTGTTGTTTTCTGTACATGTGCCTGTTTGTGGTTGTTGTTTTCTGTACATATGCCTGTTTTTTGTTTTTTCTGTACATGTGCCTGTTTGTGGTTGTTGTTTTCTGTACATGTGTCCTGTTTGTGGTTGTTGTTTTCTGTACATGTGTCTTGTTTGTGGTTGTTGTTTTCTGTACATGTGTCCTGTTTGTGGTTGTTGTTTTCTCATGCTGAGCATACATGTCAGGTCGTCCGTCCTTGTTTTCACATCAGTGTTTCGTCTGTTGATGTTGAGATTTTGTCCAAAATAGTTAGATACGCAGTAAAATATAATCATTTTCTTCCCTGATTACTGCACTTTTTACTATAACCTGGCTATACTAGACTGCACTTTTTACTATAACCTGGCTATACTAGACTGCACTTTTTACTATAACCTGGCTCTACTGGACTGCACTTTTTACTATAACCTGGCTCTACTGGACTGCACTTTTTACTATAACCTGGCTATACTGGACTGCACTTTTTACTATAACCTGGTTATACTGGACTGTACTTTTTTATATAACCTGGCTATACTGGACTGCACTTTTTAGCCCACCATCTATTCAAATAGATGGTGGGTTATTCAAATCGCCTTGCGTCCATGGTCCGTCGTCCGTCCGTCCGTCCGTCCGTCCGTAAACAATTCTTGTTACCGACAGGTGGCCATCTTGGATTTTGGATGTAAAAGTTTGTTTCCGCTATTTCTTGGAAAGTACTGGATGGATATTTCTCAAATTTCATATGCAGGTTCCCCTTGGTCCCTAGTTGTGCATTGTACCTTTTTTAGACTGATTCGAATTCAAGATGGCCGACAGGTGGCCATCTTGGATTTTGGAAGTAAAAGTTTGTTACCGCTATTTCTGAGAAAGTACTGAATGGTTCTTCCTCAAATTTCATATGCAGTTTCCCCTTGGTCCCTAGTTGTGCATTGTACCTTTTTTGGACTGATTCGAATTCAAGATGGCCGACAGGCAGCCATCTTGGATTTTGGAAGTAAAAGTTTGTTACTGCTATTTCTTGGAAAGTACTGGATGGATCTTTCTCAAATTTCATATGCAGGTTCCCTTTGGTTCCAAGTTGTGCATTATACCTTTTTGGACTGATCCGAAATCAAGATGGCTGACAGGCAGCCATCTTGGATTTTGAGAGTAAAATCTTGTTACTGCTATATCTGAGGAAGTCCAGGATGGATCCTTCTGATATTTCATAGATATTGGTTTCCCTTGGTCCCTAGTTGTGCATTGTACCTTTTTTGGACTGATTTGAAATCAAGGTGGCCCACAGGCAGCCATCTTGGATGTCGACAGTAATACAGCACAAGCATATTGTCCATTATCCACCTGTAACTGACTGCTATCTAATAATACTTTGGGATCTTTTTCAAATGATATTTGCTAATAGGTGCTTAATAAAAATATCTTGTGCCATCATTGAGTACATTCAATGAAGACCAGTTCATGAACATTTACAACACCTGTAACAAACAAAAAAAAAAAAATCTTCAAGAACTGAAAACAGATCCTCAAATGGTGGGCGCCAAGATCCCTCTGGGATCTCTTGTTGATATAACCTGGCTCTACTGGACTGTACTTTTTACTATAACCTGGCTATACTGGACTGCACTTTTTACTATAACCTAGCTATACTGGACTGCACTTTTTACTATAACCTGGCTATACTGGACTGCACCTTTTACTATAACCTAGCTATACTGGACTGCACTTTTTTCTATAACCTTGCTATACTGGACTGCACTTTTTACTATAACCTGGCTCTACTGGACTGCACTTTTTACTATAACCTGGCTCTACTGGACTGCACTTTTTACTATATCCTGGCTATACTGGACTGCACTTTTTGATATATCCTGGCTATACTGGACTGCACTTTTTGATATAATCTGGCTAAACTGGACTGCACTATTTTGAACCTCCACATTACAGAGGTGGGTGCTCTATGATAATAAAATGGTCTGTCTCTCCATCCATTATTATATTTCCAGTTTTGATGTACAAAATTTACTCCTACTTATCCAGGGTTTCCACAAGGAAAGAGATTGCGTAGGATTGCTTTCCAGGTCCATAGATCAAAGGTCAAGGTCACTGTTACAATGAACAGACTTTATCTTAGTTTCTTCACAGAAAGTGCTTGTTTTTGGTTTGCATGGATATTCAGTGGTCAAGATCAATATTTCTATAAATAAACACAGTAATATACTGCAAGAAATTAATGCCTGTGTTTAGAGTCAATCAAAATAAAATCCAATCCACTGAGGTTTCTCACTGATGAGACTTAGCATCACTGTAATCAATTCATACTACCATTAGACCTTACCTGTCAGGTAAATTGTTTATATATTACGTAACAGTAAACAGTGGGTAAATATCATTTACCATTAGACCTTACCTGTCAGGTAAATTGTTTATATATTACGTAACAGTAAACAGTGGGTAAATATCATTTACCATTAGACCTTACCTGTCAGGTAAATTGTTTATATATTACGTAACAGTAAACAGTGGGTAAATATCATTTACCATTATACCTTACCTGTCAGGTAAATTGTTTATATATTACGTAACAGTAAACAGTGGGTAAATATCATTTACCATTATACCTTACCTGTCAGGTAAATTGTTTATATATTACGTAACAATAAACAGTGGGTAAATATCATTTACCATTAGACCTTACCTGTCAGGTAAATTGTTTATATATTACGTAACAATAAACAGTGGGTAAATATCAACTATGAAAGTTTATACAAAAGAAAAAGGTTTGTAAACATAGAACTTTGAAAATTTCTTTAAACCTGAGAGAATATATTTCATAAGACAATGGATTTCCTTTCAAATATGGTTATACAAAAAAAAAGGTTTGTAAACATAGAACTTTGAAAATTTCTTTAAACCTGAGAGAATATATTTCATAAGACAATGGATTTCCTTTCAAACATGGTTTATACAAAAAAAAAAGGTTTGTAAACATAGAACTTTGAAAATTTCTTTAAACCTGAGAGAATATATTTCATAAGACAATGGATTTCCTTTCAAACATGGTTTATACAAAAAAAAAAAAGGTTTGTAAACATAGAACTTTGAAAATTTCTTTAAACCTGAGAGAATATATTTCATAAGACAATGGATTTCCTTTCAAACATGGTTTGTATAGAAATATTTTTTAAAAAGTATAAATCCAGGTATGTTAAAAGTTGGCCTGAAATGTGTGAGTTTGTTGAAAGGAAATGTTTTCTCGTTGAATTGTGAAAGTTTCTGTAAATGTTCATCACATTGACACTTGATCACTGTGAAAACGTGGAAAGGATATATATCAATCAGAATCACAGTGTTAGACAAAAGACTGATTTCTTTTCCACCTGGTTTATAAAATCAGAAACAATAGGTTTTGTCTGGATTTCTCCCTACAGACAAGGTATTCTATTTAAACTTGTATTGAAAAGTTTTTCCATATAAAAAAGGTAAAAAGGATGTTTTCTTTTACAGATATGTATTTAGAAATGCCAAGAAGGTTGGACTGCAGGAACTAGGACCAAGATTTACACTGAAATTACGATCTTTACAAAAAGGCACATTTGACTCTAAATATGGAGAGTATGAATGGATTCATAAGGTAAGACTGAAAGTTATACTGTATGGAAAAACATCTGTTAAAATACTATTCAGAGAATTTCTATGATCAACTTTACGGTACCAGCAGTAAAGCTTAATCAACTATATTCATTTCGCATTTAATGTCAAGCTGACTTTTGTTACATAACAATGCTGCTTTTTACAACCAAAATATGACTGATAATAATCTTATGATAAATTTCTACCTTTGATGCTGTAAATCACATTTACACATGTTTGTAGAGTGAAAATAAGCAAAACCAGTGTGAAAAATAAAACATTTTGTTACAGCGCCATGAAATGGACACCAGTAGGAGGAAGTTCTTCCTATAGGTCAGAAAGGTCATCCTGAACTGCAGTATGAGACGACTGGTAACGCCAGGACCTGGAGTTCTGGTACATACACATGTAGTTTTCTGGCCTTGGATCTGAAATCATTGTGAATGAATGCCATCTGAAACAACATACAGTATTACTGCAATCTCCTGTTCATTTCTGTTGTATAATAGTGGGGAGGTAACCGCCCTACATCTAAATCCCAGAGACAGCTGAAAACAGCATCTAATGAATCGCGTTAACATTTCTGCATCATAGTAACCTTTACACAACTACAAGGTGACTATCATATTAATTATGAGTATGACATGAATTTTTCATTTGTAATTGTCTTGGACTAGATTGGTTGTAAAACCTAGGGAAAGAACTGAGAATGTCAAAAACAAATAGAACGTTTACATTTTGGGGAATATGATTGTTTACATAAGTCAGTTATCATCAATTTTGTTTACTAGACTGGCATGGTATAAGTGTGTGTTTTATAATAAAAAATCACTGTGTCTATATTTAACAATACTATGGTTACATCATGTGTTCCATTTGTATTGATCATGGTAGTGAGGACCAATTTCCTTAATCCTACTTTGTGAAGTGATTTCGGCTGTGAGGAGCAAACATTTAACTAATAAGCCTGATAGACTTGTGATTAAAGCCTGTCAATGATTCTCCACTTAATGGAACTCGGACTTTGTAACATTTTGTTTAGTATAACGTTAAGTATGATAATTTGATCATGACATTATCTCAGGTGCTGATGTATGGTATAATTCTAAAAATATTGTGAATGGTTACATGTCATTTACAGCTTTAGGTTCAAGCTTTAGGCAGTGTCCAGTTATACTTCATATGATAGAAGTCTTGTGAAGTTTAATATATAATAATCTTTGACAACTGTTAAACACTTAGTTGAAGAATCTATGTAATGATGACATTGCACATACATCTTTTCTAAAAGGGAGCCTCTTCTATTAATGATGAAAAAGTTTCATTATTAGTATGGAACTTGGGTACATTGTTATTATTGTCAATGAAGAAATAAAATTTTGTTGTTAATTTATTTCATGGAAATGTTTTGGAGGGACATGAAGGATGACAATTATACAAAGTATTAGTGTTGAAATAATGACGTTTCAATCTACCTCCTATAGTATGAAATTTACAGCACTATAACTTAATAGTCACATTCCCAAGTGAAATTGATGTCTATAATTCATTACATTGTAACATCTCCAGGTGAAAATTAAGTATGTCAGTAATGCATTACATTGTAACATCCCTAGGTGAAAAGTATGTCAGTAATTCATTACATTGTAACATCTCCAGGTGAAAAGTATGTCAGTAATGCATTACATTGTAACATCCCAGGTGAAAAGTATGTCAGTAATGCATTACATTGTAATATCCCCAGGTGAAAAGTATGTCAGTAATGCATTACATTGTAACATCCCCAGGTGAAATTGATGTCCATAATGCATTACATTGTAACATCCCTAGGTGAAATTGATGTCCATAATTCATTACATTGTAACATCTCCAGGTGAAAAGTATGTCAGTAATGCATTACATTGTAACATCCCCAGGTGAAAAGTATGTCAGTAATGCATTACATTGTAACATCCCTAGGTGAAATTGATGTCTATAATTCATTACATTGTAACATCTCCAGGTGAAAAGTATGTCAGTAATGCATTACATTGTAACATCCCCAGGTGAAATTGATGTCCATAATGCATTACATTGTAACATCCCTAGGTGAAATTGATGTCTATAATTCATTACATTGTAACATCTCCAGGTGAAAAGTATGTCAGTAATGCATTACATTGTAACATCCCTAGGTGAAATTGATGTCCATAATTCATTACATTGTAACATCTCCCAGTAAAAATGAAGACATTGATTCATTGCACTGTGATATCCCTGGGTAAACAGAAAGTGGTTGATTCATTACACTGTGATATCCCTGGGTAAACAGAAAGTGGTTGATTCATTGCACTGTGATATCCCTGGGTATCATTACCTGTGATATCCCTGTAAACAGAAAGTGGTTGATTCATTACACTGTGATATCCCTGGGTAAACAGAAAGTGGTTGATTCATTACACTGTGATATCCCTGGGTAAACAGAAAGTGGTTGATTCATTGCACTGTGATATCCCTGGGTAAACAGAAAGTGGTTGATTCATTACACTGTGATATCCCTGGGTAAACAGAAAGTCGTTGATTCATTACACTGTGATATCCCTGGGTAAACAGAAAGTGGTTGATTCATTGCACTGTGATATCCCTGGGTAAACAGAAAGTGGTTGATTCATTACACTGTGATATCCCTGGGTAAACAGAAAGTGGTTGATTCATTACACTGTGATATCCCTGGGTAAACAGAAAGTGGTTGATTCATTAGACTGTAACATCAACGTCATTCACGATATTCCAGGAGTTACAATCACTTTCGCTCTCCGCACCTCTGGAACATGTCTAGGCTAAAAATAATTCACAAGCAAAAAACTGACCAATCACAGGCCTATAGGCTCCTTTTGAAGATTACAATGGAGCGATACCCAATTCAAAGCCATCACAATTTGCCATCTTCTCGTATGAGAGCCGAGTATATAACAGCGAACCTAGTTAATGAGCTTTAAACTCTTAAACCTCATATCGCATGTAGTCAACCTAGGTCGGAAACAAGGTGTTGATGTGTAGAAATATTAGTTTTCTGGAGGGTGTTTAAAATTGGGGAGAGCATAGTGTTCTACATTGTATATATATATATATAAGCGTCTGTGTGTATTTCTTGTAGGAAGCTTTTCAGGACTGCGATTTGCGTCTCTCTTGTCAAAGACTTCTCAGACAATGATCACTGTAAACTACTTTACCGGACAATATAAATCTCATGAACGTAAAAGGACAAAAAAAAAAAAAAAAAAACTGCACGATAAATTTCCATGAAGAGAAATGGTCGAAAATCTTTGTTTTGTACTGCTAGGTGATACCAGGGACCTAAAATTTGAAACCTCGGAGGCGACAAATGGAATAAAAATTGATCGAAAGTGTCAAAATCTAGATAGGGAGCACACTAGCCCCATCATGGCAATACATTTCCTACATCTGATAATTTCAGGAGAACGTAAAGTACGTGGGTACAAATTGCTTTTTAATGGTGTTACATATTCAGGAAATGGTCGTAAACTTTACTGAAGTGTCTAAGGGAAGAGTCGAATCGCGAGAGTGACTGGATTTCAGATTGACAATAGGTTCATCAACATCAGTGGCAAGATCTGCCAACATACTACTGGTGTGCCCAGGGGAAATAACTCTACCGCTCTCTTGTCTGACCTGCTTTATTTTCTGAGGAATCTGAATTTATCGATAAGATTGTCTGAACAAGTATCAAACCTTTTATTGATGTTGTCATGTCCCTAGATAACAAGTATATAGTTAGCTAATCTGGGACGCAACACGCGATTTTTTTGTACTAATGTAAAAAGTTAAAAAAAAACAAAAATGCGGCATCCTCTCCTGCATTTGATGCGAAAACAATGACAAAATTCCACTCGACTGAAGGGAAAGCATGACAGTTTCAATTTCCGCATATTTAAATCTTCCATTTGTGTCTAAGGTAATGGCTATTACCTCGTCCTGTGGTGTCACCAACTCGCCAGTCAAATCGTTATTATTAAGTCCATTTCCAATATGCCGATTTCCGTGTGAGATGTCTGCAACTGACAGTTAAAATCAGCACACAGAGGTTCGTGGGATGTATAGGCTGGTGAAGAACGGGATAGTTTATGGCTGCCACTTCGATTTGATTGGGAAATATTATACATGTGCGTTCTGAAGACGGATGTGTTGCTGGATAGTAAGTACAATTGTTACGCTGTAATTAAACATGGTTCAAACTACGTTACATTGCTTACTTACATTGGTCCAAGATTGACAAGTCGGATGGTGTCGATGAATCAAATGACGCTAACCATTCTGGAACACCTGGTCTTACTTTCTCATTTCCATTTTAATGGTTATCGTGTTAATATTTCTTTGTTTCATGTCTTGTCCCCGTTTTACACAAAGTCAGAGAAATAGATGTAGAGAAATCATTCACGATCAACTTTATGAGAAAATCGTCAGAGGGGTAAACATTATAATCACCATCATCACAGTGTAACTGATGTTTCAACTGAACAGTAGCTGGGTCGTTAGTTCTGCCAGTCCTGCTTGACCAAACACTCCCAATTCTATCCTTGCTGGAGAGTACCAACCTACTTTTTTCGACCCATCGTTCCTAGTGTTATCTTTACTTGACACTCTCGCTTGAACAGTTTCATAGACACAAACATACTTTTTTTCGACCCATTTTTTCGAGTTTTATCTACACTAAATACTCTCCGCCGGACAGTATAGCTGGTAATAACAGACTTTTTCGACCCATCGTTCAGAATCTTCCTAAATCTTGGCCGAACATTATTACTGGCATCAATACTTTTTCGACCCAGCCTTTCGAGTTTTACTAAATTTCGGCTGAAAAGCTTTACTGATAGCAACACAATTCTTCACTAGATACTCGCTGCTGAGCGAAAGAACGAACACCATAGTTCTATCTAACACGACGATTCTTATCTAGACTCGATGTCATTAACGCTGATGAGCCATTTTCGTCTTTATTTTGTTTAAATATTTGTTTGAAGGCATTTCGGAAGTCCTTGTTGTTTAAACCAAAAATGATCCAGTTTAACCCGGAGTTCAAGATACCAAGTTGAAATAGAAATTTACCTACGATAACAGCTGCTTGGGAATCGATGAACGAATTAATCAAAACACACACACAATATGGACTCCAGCAGACGATACACACACCTAGTATAACTATCATCACTTTAGTTTTTCTCAAACCTCTTTTTGTTGATGGTTGTGTAGATTTGTCACCATATTGTTTCGTTACCATCGCAACCCTCTGTGTCTGTTTCCATGCTGTAAGAACGACAACTATGTACATAACTGTAGTGACAGCAATAACGATAATCCACAGAGAATCCAGTAAAGCCCTATAGGATAGTTTTAATACAAACTCCGTATCACAAGGCTTAGATGTCCGCCAGTAGGTAACATCCCAATTATCTATAATCCATCTGACTCCGATCACGGCAAGAAGACGGGTTCTCGAAAACTTCTTGGAGTAAGTCAACGGATGAATGATTGCGACATACCGCTCTATGGAAATGAGGCAGAGATTCAGTATGGACGAGAAGTAAAGAGTTATGTTAACAGACAGTAAGACAAAGATATTCTGTCTCCATACAGCTGATCCTTAATACACATCAAAGTCACATCCATAGGAATTAATAAGACACCAACGAGCAGGTCAGATACGGCAAGATTTGCCACTAACAATGTGTAGTCGGAGGTTTCTGAACTTCAGTGTGCTTATCAGTATCAAAGTATTCCCGAAAACCGTCGAAATCATGATAATTATTTCTATAACTAAGATATAGTAAATAAATGTCTGATAAATATCGTCATTCACGTAGATCTGATGTGTCACGTTCTTGGTCAGTGTAATAAAAGGATTATTAAACGGCGATGTTAACAGTGTCGTAGTTCCATGTTAAATGTGTTCTAAAGACGGAATTCGATATCGCGTCTCCTTACACCACGTGTTGGTCCTTCTTCTTAAGCCACGTGTTGGTCCTTCTCCTTATACCACGTGTTGGTCCTTCTCCTTACACCACGTGTTGGTTCTTCTCCTTATACCACGTGTTGGTCCTTCTACTTACACCACGTGTTTGTCCTTCTCCTTACACCACGTGTTGGTCCTTCTCCTTACACCACGTGTTGGTCCTTCTCCTTACACCACGTGTTACACCGCGTGTTGGTCCTTCTCCTTACACCACGTGTTGGTCCTTCTCCTTATACCACGTGTTGGTCCTTCTCCTCACACCACGTGTTACACCACGTGTTGGTTCTTTTCCTTACACCACGTGTTGGTCCTTCTCCTTACACCACGTGTTACACCGCGTGTTGGTCCTTCTC